ACTGTTTGCGAAATTCCCACGATTTGCAGATGCAGCACCTGACAGTTGTTTGCGAGGCGATTTGGGATTCCATGTTAGTTCGGCGGAGGATTCAGGCATCAAAAGCCAGCGACAGCATGGTATTTGGTAGCTTTTGCACTGTTGGATCCACTCCTCAGAAGACCTGTAGCCGATGAGGTTCGGCCTCCATACACTCATAGTCCCTGGAGGGTTAATGAATTGTGGACGTACCAGGGCCAAGTACAGGGCTTATAGGGATTGTTACAGTATTAAACCTAATTCATTCTTTCTAAGTACATGCCCATATCCTAGTTTCCCAAAACCAAAGCTGCAAGTCCCTGTGGCAAAGCCCCAAACACCCGACTTTACCCTCAGCCCGACACTCAAAGCTCATCTTTGCCAGGCAGTCGAGGACGATCTGCCCATGTGGAACAAGTGGAAGGGGTGGCAGCTAGTTGTTCATGGAAGGATGCCGCGTTCACGGATTAGGGTGTATGGTGGTTTACAGGATTGGGGTTCGCAACTTCATAGACTTTATTGCTTGTGGGGTCGGGCCGGGAAATGTGGCATATACGTGGACTACCAGATGTATACTTGGATGGGCTCGACAGGTATCAAGGTATGTCATGAGGTTTGAAAGGAGTTGGCTTTCGTGATAGAGGCTCATCTCCACCCAAGCCCTATAAGCCCCACCTCAATGCTGCAACTACCAGCGGCGAATCCCGCAAGTCGCTCCCTGCACAGACTTGGGTTTGGTGTAGGGTCTGAAGTTTCGATGTTCAAGGTTGAGGGTTCGAGGGTTTAGGGTAGTTAGGGGTTCCAGGTTCGACGTTGGCGCGCAGTGCAGTTTCGCTCTCTGTTCACTGTATAAGCCTGAAGGCTTCAGACCCTAGCCTAGGCCCGAGCCATCAACCAAAACCGCGGCTTCAAGAAAAGGAAAAGCTCTAACTCTGTACTCTCTCCAGTTTACTGTCGCCAACATAGGGCCTCCAGTCTGCGTGCGAGACTCCTACTGAAGTCAACCAATAAACAAATAGAGACCTAGTGAAAGGGGAAAATCGCTTCAAGGTTCCCAGAAGCCTTTGAAGCTCAGGAAGAAAGAGGGCTGGAAGCCCTCGAAGGATGAATTCAACAGGCCTTGACCAGAGCTCCGGTGTGGGTAAAATAATTACCAATCCGTGGTTTTGCGATGACTGCTCAGAGCTGCATAGGGTACAGGAGTATGCGGGGAGGGGGAGGGGGGGGGTTAATCTTCAGGATGTTCCCAAAATGGGTGGATGAAAAATGGACATGGCAAACCATGTAATGATAGAACGGCTGAACCTAGAGACCTTCATCACAGTGATTAAGGACGGGGACAGATGCTGCCCCCAATAGACATGCAGCCCCGTAGAAGCTCCTATAAAAGTCGAATGGTCTACTCAACCTTGCCACGGGCCGCTCCTTGCAGCCGATTCAGCTGCAGCCGCTACAGATGTGGCAGACTCAGACTGGGCTGACGCCGAGTGGGACCTGAACAATCCTGATGGTGTGCATCAGATGCCGGACCAGCGTTCTCACGAGAAAGGCGTGGCAAAGCCTGGCTCACCATGCAGAAGTTTATCAAGCACCTGGACAAGAAGGTGGCCAAAGAGAGCCTGGCTCACGGGATCCAAGCTGACATAGACTATGATGTTAGCAAGTACATTATTTGCGAAGCCTTTGAAGTGTTACATGGAGAGATGTACATTGCATTCCAGGCACTGAGATGCAATACGCTTGAAACCTTGTAGCGGAATCCGACGGGTTCATTCAAGGCTCGTGGCTAGGCATTCCGAAGCGGCTGAGGATGACCCTGACTTATGTTGAATATTTGTTGTTGCATTCTGCCGCACAAAAAATGTTCTGGTTTTTACCACCAGACCGCCGCCATCAGCACCACCACCCCGCTATCACCAGCGGCCTCCGACTGCAGCTGCCACTGCTGCCTTTCGGTTCCTGGCAAGGTTGCACAGAACCCTTGTTGCATGGACAGTGCTACATCAAAGGCTAGCCCAGAAGCCTGCCAAACCAAGTGCAAAGCACAAAAAAAATATCAATCACCAAACCTCCATCAACGCCTTTATCCGAAACCCTCGCTCTTAAACCCTCACTCAACCGGCCAATATCACAAAGCTCTAGATTCTCAACCCACCCCGAGACTAGACCCATATCTGCAAAGCTCGGGTACGACCTCATAGGGCTAAAATGGAGCTAGGAGTCCGCCAGCCGAAGAGTCTCCAACAAAGCCGTGACTTGCGGGCCCGCCTTGTGGGGAGACCGCAAACAAGAACCACAGCCCTGAAGCTCCCTCGTTTTGAAGCCTGAAGCTCATGTCCTAAGCGCCAAACAGTAAAGCCCTTAAACTTTAAGCCCTAAACCTTTGACAATGTTGCCCTTAAACGTGACAGCCCCGAGCCCGAAAGCTCAAGGCGTAGCAACCCCATGCCCCGTGAATACAGGCTTTGGGGAGCTGCAGTGCCCGTGGACCCTCTCCTGGCCAAGGAGCTTGAGGTTGCTCTTTTGCATCGCTTAGTGTGGGCCACAAGTGTTTTTAGGGTCTAGCATATAGGGTTTAGGGTTGGGTGTTTAGGATTCCAGGTTTAGGGGATAGGGTCTGAAGCTGGGGATTACAGACTTCTCATATGTGTTTTTCCGGCTATTCACTGGATGTCTGTACCCGTTATATACGTCCCACCAGCCCAGCGCAGCAAACACCTTGCCTTCCTCAATCCTTAGGACGCTGTATAGGTGGGGTTGTGTTCCGGTCTTGCATTTTCCTCTTAAGCCTTTCCTTCCGGCAAACGAACATGGAATCCCAAAAGGGCCCCTAGAAAGACCATAGCTGAGAAGGGCTTGATGTGAGGTTCTATATTGGTCTGAGGTAGGCTGGAAGCAAGAACTTGAAGTCAAACCACCTTGCGTTTCAAGGCATGTTGAGCGTTCCGCGTGCAGACTGCGGGGTGATGGTTCAGGCCCACTAAACTTAAACCCTTAATCCTCAATCCTCTGCGAGTAGCCCTAAACCCACAACACGGACCCCTAAACCCTACGCCTTCACCCTGAACCTGTATGCTCTTGTTACATCCAGCTTCCCAGTCAGAACCGCGTTCATACTAGCGCTGCTTGTGCTGCGCTTATACCGCGAAGGGCGGGGTACTTGCAGCGCAGAAATGTCTGCATGCGGGGATGGCGCTGGTAGGGGGTTGATAATCTTGCTTAGCTATAGGTTTGGGTGTCATTCGTCTTTGTTGTTCAGTGCCAGCTTGCACTCTCTAAGTCAGAAGTCAACATCGTTGGGACCAGATTTGGCTTCTGTATGGTATCTCTTGGATCATAGAACCCTTTGTTACCCTCAGGCCCCACCGCCTACCCCCAGGCAAGGTCCAAATAGATAGAACCCTCTCATCAGTGCAACTGCCCTTCATGGCTCTTGCAATTGGTAACTCTTCTGCAACCTCTCTCACCGCATCTATACCAGCAGGACAGTGTTCACTCGGGAGTTTCTGACATGTAAGGAGTCCTTGTGATAAGAATTCCAGTATGCTGGAGCATACAGCAGGATGGGCCTCGAAGCCCCATTCTAAGTACTTAGGGCCTTACATTAGAGGCTCTTCATCGACCACCCTTGTTTCATCTTCACCACCATGAACAGTTGCACAAAGAACAACAGATGCTGCAGGCAAGTCTCTCAACCCGGGACTGGGAGCTGTTGACAATAGAAATCCGAGGTTTCAACCCAACATTTGGCCCCAAACCCTCAACTCTTGCCCCTAAAGCTCAAAATGTTAGCCTGAAGCCTTCAACTCTTACCCCTGAACCTTGGATCATAAACCCAGGGCTTGGCAGAATTTGAGTTTGAGGCCGCTTTCCCTTTCAAGCTGGCACGCGACACATACAGGCAAGCAGAACCTTGGGCCAAGCGTTGATGGAAGAGATTTTTCTCCATATGAGCAATGGTCAATACT